GACACCACCTCCTGCCCTGAACCTCTCGGCACCACCCCCTCTCTCTTGCCCCATTGCCCCACATGTATGCCAGGCCACAAATATACCCTGGAATTCGTTCCTGCTTGCACAACAAAGGCTGGAGTGGTTGACGCAGCAAAGCGAGTTGCTAAAGGACAGTAGACCACTCTCGGGCTTCAAGAGGGCAAGCGCCCCAGGGAACCTTCCAGCTGGCACTGCCACCCAAGCCACCACGAGATCTCTGCTGTGCTGCTCCCGCCCGTGCAATGAGGTCCCTGAGCCCTGCCCAGGTCCTGGCTTTGGGCCAGCTCTGCGCTGCAGGGAGGCAGAGGGTGCCGTTGCCCTGAGAGGTGAGGGCTCTGGGCATGCATTTCTTAGGCATGTGTCACATGAGCAGAGCAAGCTGATTCAGCCACTCAGTGATGTTTGTCACTCGGCTCTGCTGATGGCTACACTGAGGTCGCTGTGACTGCCACGCCCCTGGAACAAGGGGCCGATGCGTCCTTAGTTGTGTACTTTTCTCTGCTCTGTGAGCAAGTCACAGAATCCTCACGGGTCCTAGGAGGAGGTGCCAGGACCACCCACTTTGTAGATGAGTTCATTTGCCCAATGGCACACAGCTGCTAAGTAGTGGAGCGGGGCTTTGAACCTGGCCAGGCTGCTCCAGGGCCGGCCTCCTGGGGATGCCACGCCCCCGGGGGTGGGGTTCGCTGGGTCTCTGTTAGCTCTGCCTTGTTATCCATTACCTCTACACGGTCCCCCACGTCTTTTTGGCGACTTGAATTTTGGTCTGTGCTGACAAAGATGAGTTAGTCTCCAGTTTCCTCGATCCATGTACATTGACTTCTTCCCATAGTCTTTGGTTTGTGGTCTGGGCTGCAAACACCATCAGTGGGGCCATATGACAGGAGTCCCCTTTCCTGCTGTCCTTCTATGTAAAAATCTTGGTAAGTAAGGGCTTGCCGGCCAGGCCTGGGTCATGTGCTCCTCAGTGTGCGGTACAGGGGCTGGCTCCCTAGGTGTTGGCGTCAGGTCCCGTGAAGATCTCTGGAAATAAACATGTGATCCAAGAGTTTATACCAGCAAGCTGGAAACGAAGTCATTTAAAACATGCAGTCACTCAGGAATAATTAATGACATTTAGTGACGTTTACAATGTACAGTCACTCACCACACCTCATCTCAGCAGCCCTGGGAGAGGGAGGGTCCTATCAGGTGAGCAATGGAGATTGGGGAGGCGGGGCTTCACTGTGGGGTCACCCAGCTAGAGGGAGGTGAAGTGGGCAGCCCCAGGCTGAGCCCTTTGCTAAGAATCTACTGGATGAATGGATGGGCGAGTGGGTGGATGGATGGATGGGCGGGTGGATGGATCCAGAGCAAAGGTATGCTCCCGAGTATGGGCAAGTGGCATCCATCCTGGCTGTGGGGAGGGCAGCTCCCAAGGTCCCTGGCTGGACCTGCTTGGACTAGGTGGTGTGAAGGGCAAATTCCGGGTCTTGGTCATCACGGGGAGTGCTGGCCCGGGCACTGGGCATCAGTGGGTGATGGCCTGCCTGCACCCACCCTAGCAGGAATCTCAGAGCCTGACCAGCCCCAAGCCCAGCAAAGGCAAAGCGCCCTGGGAATCTGAAACCTTCCAATGACACGTTTCCTGGCCTGCAGGAGACTCTGGACCCCCGGGGACGCCTGGGCTGGCCTTTTACAGATGCAGTTCCTCAGCAGACCCACAGGAAGCCTTACCTGCAAAGCGGCTGAGTGGCGCTGGGAGCAGCAGCTAAGAGGAAGCTGTAGGTTGTGGCGCTCAGGGAGCTGGGGCTGGTGGGGCGGGACCGGGGCAGGAGGGAGTGGGGTTGGGCAAAGCTGCTGTCAGAATGGCTTGGGCAGCCAGCTGGGCACCGCTCCTGGCATCACAATGCTGCTGACTAGCGTTGATCCTGGGGGGCCTGGGCGACCTGGGAGCCGGTTCCTCCAGCCGGGACCCCCCGGGAAGCACTGACACTGACCCAGACTCAGTGATGAGCATGGCTTTGCTTGTGACGATGTTACCGCGATCCATACAAACAGAAGGCGAGACGGAGGCTTCTGCTTCCAGCTCTCAGAAACTACAGAACATCAATACAATGACAAATTAGAGGGATGCCTACAGAACGGACACAATGTAGACAAACAGCGCAATTAAATGGTTAATTTAATGTGAAGAAGGACCTCTTAATTGCTGTAAAATAAACACAAAATGTACCCCTTTCAACCATGTTTAAACGCCACTGAGCATGCTCACAGTGCTGTGCAGTCATGGCCACCCTCCATCCCCCAAACTGTCGTCTCCCAACAGCTGTCCCACGAAGCAGCACGTGAGGTTTGGTGGGACAAAGCTGTCACCTCGTGTCTACACTGTCATCGGGCAGGTTTGGGAGAGGGGGCGGCTTTGCACTCCCTGGCGTCTGGGGTGACACAAATGGCCGATGGCTTTTCATTCAACCCAACCAGGAGATCTGCACCCACACATCACGTGGCTCTCACTCATTGAGGACCCCCCTCACCCACTGAGTCAGCCTCTGTGCCTTGGTGGCAATGTGGGGGGTACACACGTGTGTCTCTGGCCAGTGTCTTAATTTAGTCAGACTCAAAACTGAGGGCTTCTTTGATGAAACTGGATTTCCCTTGCAAATTTTCCCTGTGAGAGACAAGTTCTGCCTTTGTATCCGCAGACGGAGGGAGACGGGGCATTTTCTCATGAGCACATGCGACCCCAGCATGCTTGCCTGTCCAGTTCCAGACACAATGCACACAGCAACCCTGTGGTTCGAAAGCGGTCCGAGAGATGACTCAGAATAGTTATCATGGAAATAAAAACATAAAACAAAAAAATGTGTAGAGAGCTTGCGGCTCTAAAAATACATTCTGGGCCCTGGCCAGTGTGGCTCAGATGGTTGGGCGTCATCCTGTGCACTGAAGGGCTGTTGGTTCCATTCCTGGTCAGGGCACATGCCCAGGTTGGGGGCTTGATCCCCTGCCCGGGGGAGGGGGGGGGGCACACGCTGGAGGCAGATACTTGGCGTTTCTTTCTCACATTGATGTTTCTCAAGATCAATAAAAAATGTTAAAATAGAAAGAATACATTGAGAGCTCTGCAGATGGGGGGTGGGTTAGAAAGGGAGGGAAGGGCAGGAAGGAGAAGAGCCTGCGTTTTCTAGAGGGGGTGAGGCTCATTGTGGGGAGGCAGCAGGAGAATCTGTGAGGTAGTCTGGTCTAGAGGAGCTGGTGCTGATACATGGGCAGGTAGCCCCAGGCAGGAGTCCCAGTTCTGCACCTTAGGCACTGGCCAGGAATGGGGAGGGCGGGGAGAGGATGGGGAAGATGCTGAGCTTGAGTTTTGTGGCAGGCAAAATGCCTACCCGCCCAGGTGCCCAAGTCCTAACCCCCAGAACCTGTGAATACCTCTCGCATGACAACAGGTGTTACCCCGGCAGCAAACAGTATGGGTTTGGTGTTTTAGGAAAAGACCTGGGAGGAACCAGGGAGCTGGGACAGGTGAGGCCGAGGCTGTGAACTGGTGCTGGGAGAGGGTGTGCAGGAGTGGGCAGCGGCAAGAGGAAACCAGGAGCATTTCATGGGGAATGGTCAAGAGGAGTCAATGCCTGGAGGCTGAGTGAGACCGAACAGGTATATGAATTTGCAACCTGCAACCTCAGCAAGTGCTGGCAAGAGGCAGTGAGGACGGAGGCCAGTGAGTGGGGAGGAAACAGGATGAACGAGGGCCTCCCACCAGTGGCTGGTAACCCTGGAGGCGGGGTGACTGACAGAGAGAGCCCTGTGTGTGTCCAGGGCAGGACTGGCTGTGGTGTGAAGGGGTGAGAGGGTGTGAAGCCAGAGCACTCAGGAGGGGTGGGCAGGCCAGGTGTTGACCCCTTTGTTCCAGGAGACGCTTGATCCAGTTCCCCTTGATTGGCCTGAAATCTGGGAAACACACAGGCCTCTCTTTTTCAGGGGAAAAGGGTGAAGAGAGCAAAACATGTCCTTAACTTCAGCTTTCGAGTTGACTTGTCTACACACCTTTATTAGAAACATACGATTTCACGATTGCAAAAAACAAGGCACATGGGTTGCTATGAGAACTGCTTTTCCAAACACTGTAGCAGCTCCCTCATTTGGGTGGTGGAACCGACCCTGTCAAGGCCATGGCTCTGATCAGACATCAACCCTGTCTGTCCCAGGAGAGGCTATGGAAAGGCCCAGAACGTTCCGCGGAAGCAGCCTTCGCCACCTGTGTCAGACTCGAGCCACATGCTCTCCAGGGGCAGAACACCCCACCAAATAGTCCAGGTTACCCCACACATCAAAGAAAATGCGGAAAACACAAGTACAGTAGCCCTGTCATCAGCAAATAGCCGTTCTCAGATGCTTGCTGAGTGCATTTCACCTGCGCCCATCTGTGCTTTGTACAAGGTAGGTGTATGGTTTATGTTTCCTTGTTTTACAAAACTGGGGACACTGTGCATCTCAAGGACAGGCTGCGTGTCCTGTTCGACCGAGTCTCACCGCCAGGCTCGGTGGTGGTCCCATGGAAGCCTCCCGACCACGTGCACGCTTCCATCTGGCTCGAAGCCTCATCTTACCCCACCCTCTGACTCTGACCTGGTGGCACACAGCAGCCCAGGGCTAGGACCCCCTGGGCCCAGCAGCATCAGTTGGAGGCATTTTGTCACCCATCACCTTTGCCGAGTTTTACAACTCAAGACCCAAGCTTTGTTTGAGTGAGATTAGATCACACAGAGGATGAGGGGAGGCTGCCCAAGGCTAGGGCTCCTCCCTCACCACAGGGACAGGGGTCCCGGGATCTCAGTGCCTCACTGCACGTGGCACTGGGTGATGGGCCACTGGAGCAAGCTGGCAGCAGAGCTGAGGACTGAGCCTGTGTGATGTCACCGGGCAATGGGAAATTTTGGGTACAGCAGCCACGCCCATCAAAGCCTCTATCGGAGCACCTGGCATGATGGAGGGCTGGGGTTCTTAGAGCATGTGGGGGAGGGAGGACGTGGGAGAGGGAGGACGTGGGGGAGGGAGGATGCTGCCAGCTGCTCCACACGTCCCAACAGTGGACACCACAAACCATAGGAACGGCAGAACCTCTAAAACCTATCTCTGGGCAAGACATATGGACACACTGCCCAGAACTCAATTCCCAAGCTGCCCATTCGGGAAGCCACTCACATTTGCTGATGGCGATGACGTCTGCTATCCACAGAACTGGGCTGGCCTGGGGCTTGAAGAGGGTGCTGCTGGTGGGTGGGGGTGTGTAGCGTGAACACGGGGCCGGACCACCCCGTATGGGACAGAAACCAGCTCAGCTCCTAGGCAGCACCCAGACCTGTGATGGGCTGGTTAGCGCCCTGTTCCGGCAGGCTTTCGGGGTGAACGGAGTAGGGCCACGCTGTCCTGTGTGCTGCTGTGGCCCAGCTCCTGGCATAGGAAGTATCTGCTGAAGGTGTGGGGGCTCAAGGGCCGGGTCCACACTGAGTGGGGGCAGTGGCTGTCCTCAGGGGGAGGCACACGCATGACATCCCATCACATGTGGCTGTTCCCAGGTGGCAGCGGGAAGGCCCAGACTAGGGGCACCACTTGGCTCCGGGTGCCTCCTGGAGGTAGGCAGGGCCCAAGCAGCGAACGCTGCCCTCCAGACCCAGTTTCCTGAGGGTAACGCTCCCCTATTCAGAGGTGGGGGCAACTGTGAGGAACTGCGGCCACTCAGGCTGAGCCCAGGATGGGCTGCGAGGGAGACCATGATCGGCTGAGACGGGACTCTGGAGAATATGTGATATAAAAACGATAGAAATGGAAAATTATCTGTAACAGGGAGGTTTTTGCTATAAAGGCATTTGCTTAGTACGATTACTGTAGAAACAGGAAGACAGATCCCAGTCCCTTGCCAACTCTGTTACCAGAGGACAGTGATCTGATACAACAGTAACTGGATTCACAGGGATCATAGTGCTCCTAAGGGCTGAGTGAGGAGCTGACTGTGAGATCACTTCACTGCTGAGCCCCGAACAGGCACCCCTCAGAGGAGGCAGCTCCCGCAGGGGCAGGGGCAGGGGCAGGGCCTGGAGCAGGGGTGCTTCTCGCCCACGCGCTGCCCTAGCACACGGTCCGCACGGACAGCCTCACGAGCAGAGTGGGCTCTGAGCTGGCGCACTGCCTCCAATCCCAGCTCTGCTGGCACCAGCCCCAGTTCCCTCCAGTGCCTTAACTCTGAGCTCCCTCCCTCCCCTGAGAATCGTGAGGTAACAACCAGGGCCAGATTCCTTTTATGTGCTGGATATGGTTCCAAAATCCCTCTGTAGAAACTCACTTAATGGAGGCCAGGCTCCCTTTCACAGGGTGACCAAGAAGAACGAATGGATGTATGGGTACCAGGCCTGAACCTCCACCTGGCACACAGTGTGTGCTAAGTCGGCGCTCTGGCCGAGATGCCTGTGGCTGTGCGAGTGAGCGCTGAGGTCGCTTGTCCTGGCTCACTGTGAGGTCTTCACAGCGCAGGCGCACGGAAGCCCTGGTCAAGCTCGGTGGAGGGGTCCCCGGAGAAGAGCAGCGGCGTCAGGAGGAGGCTCTCGTGCTGGGTGTGTCCACGTCCCACGACATGAGGGACACAGTGCTGCTTCCGCTCTCGTTCTCGCGCTGGAGGTCCTGGGCCTGCTGGTGCTCCTCGAGGAGGTCTGCCACCAGGTTGAGCCGGCAGGCCCTGAGCGCCTGCACCAGGTGGGGCACGGCCGCCCGCTCCCCTGCAGTGGTCTTCCAGACTCTCAGCGACTCCCTCACCTGCTCGGTCAGGTTCCGGGGATACTTCACCTCGATGGCATCGATCTTGCTGTCAGGCACTTTAAGCTGGCGAGCCAGTCTTCTCCAGTCCTTCCCCACGTGATCGCATATGATGTCAAATGCTGCATAAAGGTCTAAGGAAAGAAAGAACAAAATGATTGACCGGAGGTTTGGGGCAGCTCCTTAGGAGACAGATACCCCAATGGACTTCTCTGTGCTGACCCAGTGCTGGGTACACCAGAGGCCCTCTTGCAAAGCTGAAGTCACCTGGCAGCACAGGGGCGGGAGGTCACAGAAAGCCCAACAGTGACTTCTAATCCCACCCCAGCCAATGCCACCCCAAGACCTGGAGGTGTGGCCTGCTGAAGACTTGGTGGCTGGGACGGGCTGTGGTGGAACTATCTGTTTGGACAGGGGACACTGAAGAAAGGGCTGCGAGTTGCTAGAAGGAAGGAAATGGGGCTACTCCCCTAACCCATCCCGAACCATGGCCTCTAAAAGGATATATCCGTGTCAATTCCCTGGAACCACGAACGTTAACTTAGTTAGAAAAGGGTCTTTGCAGATACGATTAAGTGGAGGATCTTGAGATGAGGCCATCCTGGATTATGCAGGTGGCCCTACATCCAGTGATGTGTCCTGACAGGACACACACAGAGGAGGCCATGTAACCATGGAGGCAGAGACTCAAGTGTCGTGGCCGCCTGGAGCCCCAGGAGCAGGACCAGGCAGGAAGGACCACCCCAAAGCCTGCGGAGGGAGCACAGTCGGGAGACACCTTGGCTCTGGACTCTGGCTGCCTCCTGTGAGAGAAACCAGCTCTGCTGCTTTTAAGCCACCGAGTCGGTGGGGATTTGTATGGCAGCCCCAGACTGACCACCAGTCTTCCGTCCCCGGCTACCATGTCTTCAAGTGCTGGCGCTACTGCTGAGACCAACCAGCCGGGCACTACAGACCACAGGCTATTCTGGAATGCAGAGAGAGGCGAGAGGACAAAATGTTCCTGCAAATTCCACCTCCAGCTACAGACCAGAGACTCTATGACCATTTGTACAGACGAGGAAACCGAGCACAGAGAAGGCCAGTCAGCCTCCTGAGGTCGGACAGCCAGACCAGTGCAGAGCCAGGTGGCAAAACCCTGACAGTCCGAATCTTAGGCTAATTCATCTTCTATAGCAGAGTAACGAAGAATCACCCCTTGTCAACCCTCACACCTGCTCTTCACCTCCTACTGCACTTCCCTCCAACGTACATACACCCCCCCCCCCGAAAATACTTGAAGATACACTTTTCCCATGTCCCGGATTGTCTGTCTAGCACTGTGTGTGCACGTGTAACATGTATAAATCTGTCTACTTTTAGGCAGAGCTGTGCTGTCAGCCTGCCACCAATAAGAAGCCCCAGTGCTTATGGGGTGACACCCATGGAATCACTCTTAATATCCTTTTTGGGTTCAGAGACAGAATAACCCATTTCAGGCCACAGCCTGAAGCCCTGAGGGGTGTCCCCCAAGCACTTCCTGCCCTTGGGTTGTAGACTATGGCCTGTGGCTTAGAAACCCTGAACTTGGGTTTCACTTTCACTCCTGGAGGCTCTGCAAGCCACAGGTGCGGGCTGCGGAGGGGGTGCCTGCGAGCGGGGCAGGAGCCGATGCAGAATGGACTTGACCAGGGGGGCAGTTTAGTGCCTAATACCCCCCCACCCCGAGGCCATACTGCCTGGCCTCAACCCTCCCTCCGTTAATTATTGGCTATGCAAGTCACTGAATATCCCTCTGAGCCACAGTCCTCTCGCCTGTAGAAGAGGAAGAATAACGGTAGGTAACAGTCTTTAACAAACCGGGTTATTGGGAAACCGAATACGTAATGTGCCGAGAACAGTAAGGGCAGCCATAAACCCGCCTACTGCTACTGTCACTATTCCCCGAAGGCGGCGGGCACAGCTGGGCGCGGACTCCCAGGCAGAAGGCCAGTGCGGGCGGCAGCACAGGCTCCCGCGACCCTCTCCCACCCGGAGGAGGCCAGCAACGCCTTTTCCTTCCGAGTATTTTCTCTTATTTGGGGTGCGGATCCGGGCTCTGCACCACAAACACTGAACTTGGGGGGCGGGTGGCCAGGCCCTGCAGCCCAGGGCGAGCTCACGGTTCTGAAGTTTGGTTCTCCCACGTGTCACCGGTGTTCCAGGGGGGTTTAGGGGAAACCCACGCAAACTCGAACCTGGCAACGGTCAGACGCCCGGCAGACCCGCAAGGCGGCCTGCTGGGCAGACTGGCTCCGGCCCCCGGCCC